ATCACATATTTCAATTGTTTAAATGGCAATAAGTATCCCGGGTCTGTGTTTTGGAACTAATGGTCCGGTTTTTACAAAATGCCGACCGTTTTTACCCATTTTTAGAAATTTTTGGACCATTGTAATTCAGCTCAGAGATCTCACGGACCGATTTCAGTGTCATTCGTCTCAGCCCAGCTCGATTATGTCATCCGAGTCAAAAATTGACCTCAACTCAATTGATTGATGGTTGAGAGGGAAAAAGAGTAAAATACCTAATAATGATGGAAAAGGAAAAAAGGGCGTGGCTAAAAAAGTGTACCTAAACCATATACAGTCGTCGACATAAAGATAGGGACAAGAGTAATTTAAATGAAAATTAACTATTTTTCATTCAAAAAATACGTTCTATATACCAATCGAAAGCTCTATTTGTAACTCAGTTGACATGTTTCTGCCTTTTTCATGAAAATGAAAATTGGCCGAGATATCCGGATTAAACCGGATATCCCAAATCCTATATCCGCGGAAAAATTTTTCGGAAGAAATTTAACAAACCCAGTTGATAAAGCATATTTTTGTGAGTATATACAACAAAACCGCTTAAAAATATCTCTTTCCGGACCAGAGATATGATTTTTTTGAAAATGGCATTTTTCCCTTAAAAATCGAATTTTTTGCAAAAATTGACGGAAAATGCCATTTTAAAAAAATCATATCTCTGGACTGGAAAAAGATATTTTTAAGCGGTTTTGTGATACATACTCACAAAAATATGCTTTATCAAATGGGTTTGTTAGATTTTTTCCGAAAATTTTTTCCGAGGCTGTGGGATTTGGTATATCCGACAGATCCGGATTATCTCGGCCAATTTTCATTTTCATGAAAAATGCAGAAACATGTCAACTGAGATATAAATAGAGCTTTCGATTGGTATATAGAACATATTTTTTGACTGAAAAATAGTTAATTTTCATTTAAATTACTCTTGTCCCTATCTTTATGTCGACTACTGTAAGTTCCGCAATGGTTTATATTAAAGTCAATTACCGATGTCTTGTTCATAATCTTGATCCATGACATACTCAAAAAGTTTTTGAATATCTTCTATAATTTCGATTTTATCTTTTATGTTCGTTTGAATCATTGGCATTAAACCATTCATAATGCTCTAACAAATGTGAAAATAAAATTATTTTGCATAGAATAATTTCATCCCTAATTTATCTAGGTTAACTTTTGGGTACTAAAAAAAATTTAGTAAAAACGATCTATCCCATCTCAAGTAATTTAAAACAAATTTTATAACGAAATATCTTTTGCCTGATATTGCTCGCGATCACCTTCCATAAACATGCTTAAATTTCCATTCATTTCATTTGATTGCATTAATAAAACATTAAATGCAGCAACCAAATTTTTATATTGTTTTTTAACATTTTTAATTTTTTTCACATAGTCAGGGTCGTTTATATCTTTAAAAATAAATTGTTTATATTAGTTAAAAATTATATTTTTATAAATTAAAAAAATATTACCTAATTTACGGGCTTCGATGTCAGGACAACGCTTTAAGTTGCCGAATTCTTCAAACTTCGGTATAAATATTTCTTTTGCTTGATTGAAAGTTTATTAAAACTATTGTTACTTTTTAATTTAGAATAATACAAACATTTTGTTCCTTTAATGTCTGCTGATCCATAGCTTCTTTTTCCATCATTTCTAGTTGCCATTCTAAAGAACCTTCTCCTAGATTCATCGATCCTGAGTGTGCTCCTGAACCTCCTTCTAGATGCATCCCCTCTAGTTGCGATTCTAGATTTTGATACATCCATCCTGGATGCGATCCTGAACCTTCTCCTGGATCCATTCCAAATAACAATGAACACAATTGAAGAAAATAAAAATTTAAAAGAATTAAATTGTAAATTTTCATCCTTAAATTAAATAAATTAAATTAATTAATATTGCATCTGGTTTAGAATGTGTCCAAATCACTTTCACTTCTATTACCTTTTTGTTTCTCTAGTTATTTCTCGAGTTAATAGATAATCTCGATATTTAAGAGTATCTCGATAAATCTTGACAAATATCGATAATTATCGTAAGATAACCGAAATCTATATTTCAAACAAAAATCTCAATCCTAGAATTTTGATCGTTATCACAAAGAGCTACACCCTGAAGAGCTCCCGGAGATTTGGGGACATTTGGGGAGTGAGCGGACATTTGGGCAGTGAGGATTTAAAAAATAATTTAAAATAATTTTTTGGACTAATAAAAATATTTATACGCTCGTAAAGGTGTTTTTGTGGAGTTTCAAAGATTTTAAGGATATTTTGATGTCTGTAATATCTTCGTTTCTGCGATTAGGCTAATCAGTACCGGGAGTTGAGTACTGCCGGTTGAGTGCTCTCAATAAAAAACAGGTTGAGTATCGAACATTACCAAAACCCAAATTAAGGGGGGAGGGAATACCTAAAATATAGTTATTGTTTATTTCAATTTTAATGTGTTTTAAAATTAAACCCATCCCCGAAATTAAACAGCTAAATTATTGAAGAAAATAAAATGAATTGTATAGCAAGTTGCTTCTATTTTTAAAGCCAATTAAATGTGGGCGTAACTTACATAAGTGCAACGAAAGTCAAGTCTTGAATGGCGATATTTTCATTTATATAAATTTTCTTTTTACCCCTAGCAAAAATATCTTTTCATTTTGTCATTAAATTTTAAGCTGACGTGCTTATAATTTAAGAGGATGCATAAGTCCATGGGACAATTTCATAGGACAGTTCATAAGTTCATGGCTCGCATATAAGCTCATTGCCCTTTATTTTTTATCCCTATTAAAAATAGTTTTTCAATTCATCAACAAACATTGAGCTAAAATTGACAAGGCATGTCTTGACAGGTAAATCAAGTGACTATAATAGAGCAGCTGGGCTATAGCTATTCCTCTCCTTTAGCTAGTATTGGGTCCCGCTTTTTCTATATTAAATAAATTTAAATATTCTTCTTATATTCAACAAATCTAACTCAAACAATAATTATACAAGTTTTATTCAAATAAGTTGAGTTTAAGTTTAGGTAGCAAGTTTGATCAAGACGAGCTTGAATAATATAAAAAAATAAGTATTTATTCTGTTAAGGAATGGTCGGAAGAAGGTTAAATCAGCGGTTTGTAAAACATTAATAAGTAAAATATAAATGTAACATAAATAAGATGAAGTTGAAGAACAAAGTCTATGTTTGTTTTGAGGGAATGTTTTAAATGAAGTAAGGTAAGGTAAAATATTGGGAAATGTTTTGAATATTTTAAAAATTAGATAACAAACATTTACAGCATATTTTGGGGCAACAAATATCGAAAATAATATGTATATTAAAAGAAATAATTATTTGTCGAAATATGGATCTAACACCCCTTTCATTTTCAAAAGAATTAATGTCAATATTTTCTTTTGTTGTTACCATTATTACTTGTTGTTTTCTTGATATCCATCCAATCCCTTTTACATTCACCACAATAACGTGGGTCTTATAACGAAAATGGTTATTAGCAAATTCTTTTGAGAAATCGAGTTGCCTGAAAATGTAACAGATGCGTGAATTACGCTTATTATATTTCCTCTACCATTGAGGGGTTTTTTAGTTATTATTATTTTTTCCTTTATTTAAATATATTATTAATTTACATAAATATATTAAAAAATTTAAATTCATTTAATATTATGCGTAACGCACAAATTTTTTCTCTTTCCCAATTATTTTTTTAAACCTTAAAAAATAAGCCCGCCTGCCTACTACAACAAGATCGTTTTCACTTTGAGCTGGCTTATTCAGTTGTTACTTTTCTATTTTTTTAAAAGCACTCATATATTTGGCTACCACTCATAATAAATTCGGTATTTAAATTAATTAAATAAATTTTTCCATCTTAAATAAGTTTTTGTGTTTGAGTCTAGGGTTGAGTAAATAAAAATTGTTGAGTAAATAAAAATTGCCACATTTGCACCTTTTAAAAGATCCTTAATATCAAACCTTTTAAAAGATCCTTAATAATAGAAAAGTTTTTATGATACGCTATAAAAATGTTAAAACGACATATCATTCGATTCTTCTTGATAAGCTAAGCAGAATGGTTAAACTCCGGTCAGTGCAAAAGTTTTAAGGCTGAGGTCCAGTTCCAAACCGTTTCCAGACATCTATCGGTTAAATTCATTCTATTTCTTTATTTTCTTTTTATAAGAACCAGAAGTAGAAACAGCAAACTTTAAATGTGAACTTGGAAAATATTAAAGGATAAATGATGTAAAAACTGGGAAAATCTGAGAGTTGGAGCCCAAGAAATTGCCAAAATAATTTCGAGATTATCTCAATAATAATTAAAGAATAACTAAAATTTATCGCAAGAGCATAAAAACTACAAATCACCGAAAATGCCAAAAAATGGATTAAAAATTCTAGAAATGGAAAACTAATACAAATTGTGCTAGAAAGAATAGAATATAAAAGAATTTAATTGAAAAGACAGAAGAAAGAATTGATGAAAATTAAATCTATATTATGACAAATCTGAAGGAAGATAATCATATACTGATGGATGTCATAGAATTATCTCACATATAATCTCATAATCCTCATATACTGAAGGAAACATATATTTAGTTCTGTCATAATCTTTAAAGAAAAAGTCAGGCGGGGAAAGGAAAAATCGGTCGTGGTTGACTGAGCCATATTTTGAGCAATAACTTTCTGGGTTTACAGCCAATTCGAAAAAATCTTCTACCATTCGAAAGCCCCGGATTCGTGAATTATTTTTGCCATCACGATTGATTTGACATTAATTTAATAAAAGCTGCATCTAGATAAGTGAGCGCAATCATGATTTTAGATCTTCGTTCAATTGTAACATTTTCTATAATATTCTAATCATGAGCTATCGATGATATATTAACTATCTAACTCAATTATGAACCAGAAAAGTTATGGCCAAAAATATTGCTCAGTGTCTCAACTGTGGCTCTCCGAAAAGTCACTAATTTCAATTTCTACGCTTGTTCTGTTTTTTCTTTTTGTTCTTTTTTTGGCCTTTTTCAACATGTTGTTGCCCTTGTCCATCGTGTTCTTGTTGATCTTGCCCATCCTGTACTTGTTTACATATTTCCTCAACTGAATATGTACAACTTATTTAAATATGTTCATTCTCACTAACAGGACTAAATTGGCCATATATTTTTTCCTTTGTCTGGGTTTTGGAAAGACAAATTTTTGACTGGGCAAAGTATTAAAAGGCGGAGTTTTTTACAAAATAGACCGGTAATACCGGAAACAATACCGCGGTAATACCGTACCGTAAATAACACTAATACAGATATAACCAAGTTAAAATATTTATTTTCAGAGGAAACTCCGATTGATGATTACAATTGAATTAAAGTAAATTAATTACCTTCATTTTTACGAGTCGTCAGAGCATCCATGAGAGGTTTGAAGCTGAAAAGAAAGTTTTTTTCTTTCACTTGTCATTTTAAGAGCTTTTTGTCATTTAAGAGCAAAAAATAAACTATCAGGGATTAGCTCTCTGCCGCTTCACCTTTCGCAATTACGTTTTTTAGCCCCTTCAGGTTTTCCCTTCGGTCCTCTTTTTAAGCCCTTCGGCCCGGCTTAACTCTTCGGTCCTTCAGTTTTCCCTTCGGCTCTCTTTAGTCGATTTAAATCTAATGACGACCATTATTTTTGGTCTTCCAAAAAATTTTTTCCTAAGAAAGAAGGATTCTGGCTTCTTTGTTTTCAATAATTTTAAAATTTTTCTGAGGCACGGAAAATGAGGATTATCACTCTAAGAAATTTTATAGAGGCTCTTGCATAGGGTGAGGTTCCCTTATGTCCGAATCAGATGTCCAAGCCCTAAAAAGGAAGAAACATGGCTTTTTGGTATTTCAAAATACTCAAAATTTTTACTAGCAGGATAACAAAATTCTGAAAAGTTGAAGCCCAACTTTAGAAAGCCCGAATTTACAGGACTCCTTACACCTCAATATTTACCCTTTTTCCTCTTCACTACCACAAATTCCGCCTTTCCGACTCTTTCAACTAGTTACGTATTAGCTTTTTAAAATACGGCAGAGCACATCCCTAATTTATATTTGATTTGTAAATGTTAAATTGATTGAAAAATAGTTTATATTACACAAGTTTATTTAGATGATCGCGAAGTTTTTGCAAATCCTTAACAATATTGCTTTGCCTGTTAAAATGAACTTTGATTTTTCGTCGTGCATTTTCCTAACAAATGAGAAATTAATTTTAGTACGAAATAAAGTTTTTTTCAAATTTATAAGAGCAAGCATTTTTCTGGGGTTACTCATACTTCATGTGTACCGATTGTGTCCAAATTTTTTTATTAGTAAATACCATATAAAAATTAGGATTTTGAGAGTTTCAAAATTTTTCAATCAAAATTAAATTTTTTATGAATTTTTTTCAAAATTTGACTTGTTTCATAATTTGGGGGGGGGGGGTTGTTTTTCAAATTTTTATAGTTATTTACTAATAGAAAAAATTTGGACCCAATCGGTACACAAGAAGTATGAGTAACCCCAGAAAAATGCTTGCTCTTATAATTTTGAAACAAACTTTAGAATCATTTCATTCAAATTTATTAAGTTTTTCCAAGATTTTGTTTTTGGAAGAAATAATCTCCCTTTTCCAAATAAAATCATTATTTACCCATTTTCATTACCAAATAAAAATAGGCTTAAAAAACAGTATTACCGGATTAGTTGTTGGGTTTACGTCGAATGTGCTGTATGCCAAAAACAATTTACGATATTGTTCTTTAACATTCTTTCCTTTATTTGAAAAATAAATTGGTTTTACAGTTAACAATTATCTTTGATAAATTATAATAATAATAAATATTACCTAATCGCGGAGGTGTTAAGTCTTCACAGATCTTTGCATTGCCTAATTCTGTTTTAACTAAATAACTAACTTGTCTGGCTAATACTTCGAAAGCCTATTAAAATGTTTATAATTCATTTAGCTACAATAATAACTAGGATAGATCCCCGACACTTCAGGGTAGGGGATCCACCCTATCACAAACATACATGCTGTATGAGTAATTCCTTTTGTTCTTGTGAAATTTCTCCTTAATTCAATTGAATATTAATGAAAAATCGAAGAAAGCAAAAATTTTAATAGTATATTAAATGGTAAATTTTTATTTTTGAATAAATACTAAAGTATATTGGTTAATATTTCATCCGATTAGAAAGGTATCCATCTCAACCTAAAAAAATTTTTCAAAAGTCTCAAATTCCGAGACTTTCAGGGAGGGGTCCACACTTACCACTGTTTACTATATCGATAGGTGCAGTATCTAGAAAGTTAAAATATTTGAAAAGTTAAAATATTTAAATATTTTAAGAAGGAACCTTATGTTAGTTATAGCTAGGGATGGGTTTTCCGTATTTATTACAATCAAATCAAATGGACTCTCCATTTGAATGGCCTCTCCAATTGGATGGTCGATTTATATATTTCAATTTTGCTAGTACTCGTACTGCCTATTTTCACTCGTATCTCGTACTAAAGCATACAAAAATTTTGAAAATCTAACAATGTTTAAGGCCCACAGACTAAATTTTTTAGCGCCGCAGGCGAAAATTTTGAAAATTGTTGAATGCCGAATTGTAATTGGCTATAATTAAAATGTTTATGACCAACTATGAAAATCTATATATGTAAATTCTGTCCCTAGTTAAAGCAATGGATTATATTAAAGTCAATTACCCGTCGTTTGTCTATAATCTTGATCCATGACATACTCAAAAAGTTTTTGAATATCTTCTATAATTTCGATTTTATCTTTTATGTTCGTTTGAATCATTGGCATTAAACCATTCATAATGCTCTAACAAATGTGAAAATAAAATTTTTGGATAGAATAATTTCATCCCTAATTTATCTAGGTTAGCTTTTGGGGTTCTCGCGTAGCGATTTAGTAAAAACGATCTATCCCATCTCAAGTAATTTAAAACAAATTTTATAACGAAATATCTTTTGCCTGATATTGCTCTCGATCACCTTCCATAAACATTCTTAAATTTCCATTCATTTCATTTGATTCCTTTAATAAAACATTAAATGCAGCAACCAAATTTTTATACTGTTCACTAACATTGGTAATTTCTTCCACATAGTTAGGGTCGTTTATATCTTTAAAAATAAATTGTTTTTACTATTAGTTAAAAATTATATTTTTATAAATTTAAATAAAAAATATTATTACCTAAAGGACGAACTTCGATCTCAACAAAGGGATTTAAGTTGCCAAATTGATCAAACACAGGTATAAATATTTCTTTTGACTGATCAAAAGCCTATTAAAACTAATGTTATTTTTTAATTTGAGAGAATAATACAAACATTTTGTTCCTTTAATGTCTGCTGATCCATAGCTTCTTCTAGACCCATCCCTTCTATTTGCGATTCTAAATCTTGATACATCCATCCTGGATGCGATCCTGAACCTTCTCCATGATACATTCCAAATAATAATGGAAAAAGTTGAAAAAAATAAAAATTTAAAAGAATTAAATTGTAAATTTTCATCTTTAAATTAAATTTTAAAAAATTGAAATCAAATTTAGATTTAGAGATAACCTTTAATTCGTGTTTTTTTATATTTTAATTTTCAGATTTAAGTTTGCTATATTGAACTTAAATGACTGTAACCCTAATAAAATTTTTAATTTTAATTAAAAGAATCTCTTTAATTTTAATATAAGCAAGAAAAATTGCCGATTATTTAAATAAAAATATAGTCTAACACTGATTGTTAATTAAAAACAATATTAAATATATATCAAAACATTAGGAAAAAAAATTAAAGAAAGGGCAGTTAGAATGTTTATATGTGGAATAAATCTCTCTTTAGATCTCTTTTTCTAAAGCAATCAAATGCGCGCGTCACTCAGCAATCATTTGTACTTTTTAACCCTATAAATCGAAATTTCTAATCTTACATCTTAGATAAAGTCGAGATTATATTTTCACATGCATTTTATTTACTATGGTTAAAGAAATTAAGAAAGCCTTTTTATTTAAGAGACCTGTTTTAAATGGCAGGCAGACAAGCATTATGAAATAAAAAAAGGAAACAGACTCCTAGTAGGAACCTTAATTAAGTGTGTATGTTTGTAAACCGAAATCGGAAGGTTTTGACCACCGATTTTCTGTTCCGGTTAATTCCCCAAAAACACTTGTTTTCTGTTCTAATCTTTCTTTTACACTATAAATCAAAATTTCAAAGGACGGATCGAAATTTCGAACTTTTAAATTCTTAAAGCAAACAATCAAGCGATTATTTATTAAGGGCAAACACTCTCGTGATTGAATATATACAATCATATGTCGGCGGCATTTTTTAACTCAATGCAATTTACCAATTTTTAAAGTGCAAGTGTCGATTTTAAAATAATGTACTTTTATTTATAACTAAAGTTGCCGCCGATCTCAAACGCCGGCCGTTCCAAAACAATTTCTCACTTACTCCCCGCCACGAACTCCGCATCGAAATAATTCAAAAACCCCGCGCCCCGATACAAAAAAGTTTCGGGGTTCGGGGTATTTTTGAAGAATATTAAAGAATAAATACAAGTATAAATTATGAACTCATATTTATGTAAAAGGGAATGTGCTCATGGTTAAACATAGTTAATGCTTCGATATACTAAAAATAAAATTAATCCTTTTTAAGTAAACAAGAAATATTTGCGGATGTATTTTGCTAAATTATTTGAATTGAAAATTTTTTTTAAATGTTTGAAGAAAAATTAATTTTTTTAATTAAAATATAAAAATTCCGAGGTTATATAATAATTTAAACAAAACTAACATTATCTAATAACTAAAATTTATCACAGGAGTAAAAATAAAATATATACAAATCACCGAAAAAATCACCAAAAAACTACAAATCAGAGAAAAATGTTTAGATAAAAAATGGAATAAAAATTTATAAAAATAAAAACTAAATACAAATTGGGCTAGAAAGAAAAGAAAATTAAAGAAAAGAGAAAACTTTTAAAAAATTTTGCTGTTTATTAAGTTACGCTAAAGTCCCTATGATACAGTTTACCCTTTTCGAGAATACTTGATTTAAAAATATTCATAAAAATAAAAGCTAAATACCTATAAATCTGAAAGACCCGTTTCCCGACTCGAAAAATTTCGGAGTTTTCGTAAATAAAATAAAAGTATATTTTTGGTGGAATTTAGAAATTCTCGAAATTATTACATGCGGGCCTAAAATAACAAGAAATCTGACTTGTTGCGTTCCAAATTTTTAAAAAGTCGTGGGATTAACGTTATATAGTGGGGTTAAGGAACTTTTCTCCCATTTCTAAATATAAGGGCGCATTGGATTTTTTTTATAATTTTCAACTTCCTTCAAATTATTCAATTTTCCTTATGCTTA